GAGAGAGAGAGAGAGAGGAGAAGATGAGGAAGAAGAAAAGGGGTTAAAGTTGGCCGCTTCCTGAACCCCTTCGTTCGAACCAACGTTTCGGGAAAACATAACGTATCGCGAAAAAGGGGGTTGAAGATGAGTCGGAAAAAAAAGGTAAACTCCTTCAGGAGGCAAGCGGTATACTCGTGATGCGCCCTCGTCGGGAGATCCATTCTTCGAAATTCGTCGGCTCCGCGATCTAACCGCTCTTGCGGAACAAGTACCACCTTTCGCCAACTTCCGCCCAGCTTTTTCATGCGTATCGTTAAGATGGATGGAACCACCGTTCCCTTTTTTTTTTTTTTTGCAACAACCAACGTGATTCGATCGAAAAATGGAGCAGGGTATATGAAAACGACAAAAAAGAAAGAAATAAATAAATTACGTTGATGAAATTACGAGACGAAAATTGAAGTGGCGCGAATTAGAGCGACGCGAGCTCTGGAACGCGGCTTCTTCCTTATTGCTCGCAAGTAGGACACAGGATGAGTCAATCGAGTTCAATCCAAGTCGATTCCAATCTCTTCTTCGTTCTTCTCTCGCGGGTAAGGAGAAAGAGGGGGAGGGAACACGATTCGATTGTCATCGGTGGATCTCATAAATCAAGCGGAGAAGGAAGAGGGCGCAAACAGGTGTGCGTCTCGACAACGCATCGACACGATTTCGAAAATTATCCATCGATCGAATCCGACCAAATCCTCGAACGGATCCGCGATGGACTCGCTTCGATGCGAGCCAACGACAACACAATGAGCTCGTTAAGCCCGAACGCGACTCGATTATGCGGGCCAATATCGATGCGATATTCCCGTCTTCCCGACGGCCGCGTTTCGAGATGCTTTCGAATCGGCCGAGAAACGAAGGAGAGAAGGATACGCGCAGACATCTGGGAAAATTACGAGGACCGATATCGACTTTCAATGGGAGCCATTCCGAACGCGAAATTATCGCTTTTAATCATCACCGATCCTTCGCCATCCCTTTACCGCCCGATATCTTTTCTTCTCTCTCCTCGTTCCTCGTTCCAAGCCTCGTTACACCATGATCCATCGGCTCGAACGACCCGTGGAAGCACGGACGAAGGGAGCACAAAGCGCAACAACGAACTCCCTTCTTCCTCCCCTCCTCAACGTTTCGGCGTAAACAGAAACAGGATATCCCGCGAAAGAAGGCTGGAAGCGATCCGCGAGGTTTTCACCCCTTCTTGCGAGGGGAGGGATGACAATCGAAGGAAGAAAAGGACACGGTTCGCGTAATCTTTCGAGCGTGGCGCAACATTGTTGTCACGGATGCTTTGCCCTCTCGCAAAGAATAGATGGAGGAGCGGAATGCTGTTGGGTCGACGATCATTATTTCTCGATGTGTGTATAGCGGGGGCGGCTCTCTCTCTCTCTCTCTCTCTCTCTCCTCGGCAAGACAATGCGACAAGTTGGTTAAAATATGCAGCCCCCGGCCGTGCGTGGTTTCGCGCGTCTCTCTCTCTCTCTCTCTCTGCCGGTGTATCAACCATCGTCTAGAAACGGTGGGGTGTCGTGCGACACGGTCGGAGAAGGCTGGTGTGTATATTCGCGAATAAACGCGAGCTCGTGCACGACGACGACGACGACTACGACGACGTGTGCACAGGTGAAAAGAGGAGGGGAAAAAAGAAAAAAAGAAAGGAAAAAAAAAATCCTGGTCGACACGGCGAGACGAGGGCTCGATGAGAGAGAGAAGGTCGGAGGAAAAGAAGAAAAGGGGAAGGGTGCGAGGAAAACAAACTCCTGCCACGGCAGGAGCCGAGCACAATGGGAGCATCTGCTTAGCAAATTGCGAAAAATAATCACGTTTGCCCGGGATTCCGCGTGGTACGGCACGGTATAGGCATCTCGAAACCCGTTGTATCCCGGTTGTAACACAATAACAACGCCTACTCGACAAATGCGGAGGGGAGAGGGGCGAAAGTCCAAGTTGGCATTGGTATATAGAGATATACGTGTATAAGGGAAAATACACTCGTGGAAAGAAAAATGAAGCGGGATATATTTCGGGCGGGAATGCGTGTATCACGGGACAATGTATCGCATCGAGAAGGTAGCGAAATTCGTCCCTTATGACGACGACGACGGGAAGAGGATCTCTTCGCGAGCCGATGAATGCGCCCTCCTCGCATCGCGATATCGCGTTTTCTTCCCAACTCTTGGCGCCCCTCCATCGCCATCCATTTCCGCGGTAGTAATTATTTTTACGGTGTATTAAAGTCGAATCGGCGTAGAA